ATGCCCATCAATGTCGACGAAGGACCCCAAGAGCTGACACATCTCAAAAGCTAGCTTATCCATGATTATGCTAGTCCGCCGTGAGGCTCGAAGGGACATACGTCGTACGGAGTACAACCAAGACAAAAGAAAGCTGCAAAACCCACTTGGCCCTGGTGAGCCAGACCCGCCAGGTTCCTGCAGTAGTGTCGCCAGCCACCGAGCAAGCAAGCCCCTGTGTAGCGGCTAAGAAGCTGCCCCTGGTCAAACCAAAGTACTCAGTGCCTTGTCAATTCAAGGAACCGGTCTGAAGCATGAGGGCCCGATGCACAGCTTGAACATGTCCGATCGAAGACGTGTTGTTAAACACCTTGGACGTGATACAGGTGACGAGAGGCTGCGGCTTTTAGTAGCACAGAGCGCTTCTACCGATTACGTATGTTATTTGCCGGCATATCACAAAAACACACAGTACACGTACTCTGCTGTCCACCGACACAAAGGACACACAGATGGCTGTTTCTATTTTTTTTTTTTTCCTTATTCTGTCCGGGCCGGTCTTCTGGTAGTATTCATGATCCTGGCTCAGTGTCGTCATAGGTGCTTAGCCGGGACTTCACGCCGGCTTGGCCATTGCCACTGATGGGCTTCCTTCAGTGATCCCACGCAACATGGGCGAGACTACTGCAACTGGGTACGGAGTAAGCTAACAACCTTTGGCCTCGTTGAGCATTCTGGTCGGCCGTAACCCGCGCAGCAGCCACTTGGGCCGCATCCAGGCCCAAGATGTTTGTGGCAAGGTGCACGGCGCGGTCAGTGCATATCGACCGCCTGCTCGCCAATACCACCCCACCACCAGAACATCAAGACATCCAGACATCGTCACCCCTGACTAGACCCTGTCTGCACATCGAGCCCGCTCAGCATCCACTTCAGCCAGCCAACCAGTTCGCGATCTGGGCTCCGCCTAAACGACCAACATGCCATCGCGTCACGAGTGCTGGTGGTAGCCGGGCTTTGGTTTCTTTATATTTCTAGCGGCTTGGTGTCTTGTTTAGCTCGCATAGAGTTGCATTGCCCATTCTTGGAGTGAACCAAAGAACCTCTCGAGACTTCTACAAGACGAGTCTGGTCACGAACCACACAACAGCCCGACGACGGACCGGTATCTTCTCTGGCCGAGTCTAAATTTCTGATGGAAACGGGGAACTAGATGTTAACTACAGAGTACTCCGTACTCTGTAGTCATCTGCATGTTCCTGCATTGTCAGCCTGCTATGCGGGTGAGGCCCTTCGTGGCGGCTTCAGTTCTATAAAGTCTAAAATCGACAGTTGACAAGTACTATAGAGTTTCTTGGGTTCAGAAGTATGGTCTCGAGCTTAACGTCAGTCTCGATGCCTATTTTTTTTTTCCTTGACCCCCTTTACTATCCCCTCGAGGCAACGAAGGCTCCAGTGAGCTGTCTCTCTCCACATGGCCTTGGAATCCCCGGCAGAACCCAGAAGTATCAATAATTCGATTACAGGGTCCTGCCGGGGAATCCAAGGCCTTGTGGAGAGAGACAGATTGATACTTCTGGGTTCTGCCGGGGATTCCAAGGCCATGTGGAGAGAGACAGCTCACTGGAGCCTTCGCTGCCTCGAGGGGATGGAGAGGCACATTCATGCGTTCTCCTTGGCGGATGCTGAATACTCAGTCGTGTACAAACGGGTTAAAGGTGCTCTGTAGTTGAGTCTTCCCATGCTTGGAGGATTTTGAAGCTGGACTACTTGGTAAGCTCGAGACGTCTCCATTGAATGACTCCATTGATGGACGTCAGGTGCGCATCAGTTGCTTCACGCCCACGGGCCTCCTTGCAGAAACTCAAAGTTGATGAGTCGGGGATCGGCACATCTTTTTCCGCAGTGCGAATAACCCTTTGCTAAGTTTGTGTGGGTTTGCAAAACGTCTGGTGCCCCAACAGTGACCAGTGATCAACCCTGATTGTCATCAGGAGCAATTAACAGGGCTGTTTGCCGTGCCACCCAAACCAACTTGTCGGTGAGCCGAGCCAAGGCGCAGTGTCTACCCTACATGACTCAATCGTCCTCAATCGTCAACAACAGGTAGAAGATGGAAGAACTCTTTTACCACGTGCTTACTTAACTAACATGGTTTCCGTATCGACACTTATCCTGCCTTGGAAAGGCAACCGTACCGGCAGGGGAAATATGAAATGGTTATTCGCCAACTTTCTTACTGCAGGGACACACCATACTCCTATCTATCTACCACGTCGAAGGTTGGGCACCTCGTGTGACGGCTGCCTCATAGTTATAATTGGAATTTCCTAGAGTGGTTTCTACCAGTACTCTAGGTACTAGGTGGGTATGCATCAATAAACGCTTCATAGATGAGCCTGTACCTGCATCTGTCCCTGCTATCATCTCCCCCAAGGGACATGTCAATCTCGGTCAATCCCTCAGCCCAGCCCGAGAGTCGCGAATCGTACCGTCATTATTATTTCCCCCCAATCAAAGCTCCTTCATAACCTCATCCACCGCCTTGGCTGCCATCCTCCTCCTCTGCGCCTCGGGCAACCCCTCCCCCGCGTCCCTCACAGCCTGCAGCTTCCTCATCATGTTCTCTACCTTGTCCACGTCTTCATGACCCAGTTCGAGCTGGACATGCCCTGGATTGCCCGCATCCCCCTTGGACGTTGCACCGGGACCAGCGGCCCGAGCTGAAGGTTCTCCGTCCCTGGGCCTCGCGTCCCAGATGGCCTCTTTCAAGCCTTGGAAATCAGCGCGATCAAAGCCGAAATCCAGACTCTCCGGATCCAGATGCCCGCCCTCGCTCCCGTCGGAAGCGTCTTCAAAGTCGCCGAAATCAGAGGGTGCGTCTTGTGCCCAGTCGTTTGATTCAAGGGCCTCCCTGACGCGGGAGATGCCTGTCTTTTCTTGTCTGCCCGTCAGCTACCCGCGATGCAGCGCGTAGTGTGGGATTGTATACCACCCAGGATTGGAAGTTGAAAAGGTTCTGCAGGCCCATCATGGTCAAGGTCTTGTAGACGTACCGCCAAACTCGTTCAAATGCGGCAGCTTCCCGCCAATCTGGACGAATTCCAAGCCAGCCTCGGCGCAAAGCTCATCCCATTCTTCGGCATCGCTGTCCCCAACACCAATAGCCAGCCGGACGCCGTCCCATTCCCAGCCTCCCAGGCCGTTGTTGACGACCTGTCCTACGTGGTGGATCACGTCGCGGACGCGGTCAACGCCCTCAGACGACGTTGATGGGGGCAGGCTGAAGATGAGGACCAGGCCGCCCAGCGCGGCGAGGACCTCGCCCGCTTCATCGGAGAGGAAGGACGCTGACCACTCGGATGGCGAGGCAATGAGGTCCAGCCATATGGGGACGGTGGCGGTGTAGTACTGCGTTTTGAGGGCGAGGTTGTGCGTTGCGCCGGCGAGGGAAGGGGACGGCGAGCATGGCGACGAGCCGGTGAGGTCTGGAAAGGGGGGGGGTGGTTAGTAAGTGTATATCTCCTGCGGGATGAGATGAGATGAGATGAGAAGGCGGGAACATGGGGGTTGGGTGGGCCGCAGCGCACCTTTGACTACCCTGCTCAACTGGTCTGCCTGGGAGTCAAGACTGACGGCCAGAATCCTCCGCGGATGAGCAACGTCCATTGTGAGGGTGATGAGTGACGGGGCGTGTTGAAGTTTGAAGCCGGTCGAGGTTGGCTTTGGATGGTGGGGCTCGAGGCAACGCAACGTCACATGGTCTCTCGCTCGTAGTTAATCGCTGCCCGCCACCCACGAAAGAGACGAGAGACACGAAGCTGCAGCAGAACAAAACGTGCGACTTTGTCAAAACAAAGCGCCACCGCAGGCGAGCTCCAACCTGTCAACTACAGCCATTTGAGCCCCTTCATCTCCCTCGCATCCGGCGCGTCTTTCCTTCCCGTGGCGTCGAAAACCCCCCGTCACAGAAAACATGTACAATGTGCGCCGCCAGTGACACTCGAATTAAGCCGTTTCTAATCCCCTAAAAACAGCGAAGACCACAACTGGGTCCAGGACCCACAGTCCCCTGTGACGTCAAGTGACATTGATAGTAATAGTTGAGATTGTAGCGTTGATAATGTAGTTTTTGGTAACTTGGATTTTTATGGAACCTTTATTATCATAAAATATTAGGGAATTAAGGTACCAAATAAAAGTAAGCCTTTAATTGGCCACTAATCCCCGCAGCTATAATTGCCAATTGCCGTGGTTGGCGTTACCAGTCCTCGATATATTCCAAGTCAGCCCAAGGTCCTTTGTATCCTGAAATAACCAGCCTAGGTTATGGTAGCTAGTTAGGATGACTCAATAGGACCGACACCGTCAACTTCACAAGTAGCACTAAATGGACAGTAAAAAAGATACAAGAATATAAAGCGTATACTGTAGTTTACAAAGCATGACACAAATCCGTGCATTTATCAAAGGCAGTATACTAGCCGTGGTGTATTATACCCAACTCCCTCATCTACCCGGTACCAAAACACGCCGTGTATTCTAAACAGCCACCTAGGGTCGTACGCAACCAATTCGTTGCTTCACTCGGGTCACTCTCAGAATACTCCGTTCTCAAAACGTGGCATCGTCTGGCCAACAAGCTACCATTTGGTAATACGAGAAAGGGCGTTTCTTCCAAGCACCATCAGCACAAGCGAACAACACATGCTGCAAGCAGCATCCAGTACAACCTGCGCAACCGAGTGCTCACCTCTGCGTATCCCCACGGCCCGCGTCGACAAGTGTCCACAACGGCCAAGGGTTTCTGAATCGAACGAGCCCAACTACGATCCGCGCAAAAAACGCAATCTCGTCCACAGCAACAAGCCAAGCACAGCCCATACTCGTAGACACAATTCCACCACGGTATGCAACGTAGCTCGCCCGTGCAAAATACCCATCCGCCCTTTTTACAAGGCAATACAACTGAGCGGAGGGTCATACCGCGGCCGCCAAAAAAACCCAATAGACAGCCTGGCTCAATAATCATCTCCCCCCCAGCCAAAAGACCGATTCACAACGCCCATGGCCTCGGCGCCGCCCATCCCCTCCCCGGGCCGGCAGCCGCCTCTCCGCGTCCTCTCCAGGTCGCCCTGGTCCAGCAGGCCCCTCCTCCTCTCCAGCATGGCCGCCTGGATCGTGGCCGCCCACGCGGCATACCACGCCTCCTCGCTCAGCGAGACGTACCGCCTGCGGCCCGGCACGGCGGCCGCCTCGCTCATCCGCCATTCGGCCGTCACCGTCTCCCAGCGCCTGGTGGAGAAGAACAGGAGCGGCCAGGCAAGCACAAACGCGAGGGTGAAGACAAACACCTTGGCGATCCACGGCGTCAGCCGCCACCGGTTGGCGCGGCAGTCGTTGTAGACGCGGACGAGGGAGTGGCGCACGGGGAACTCGATCTGCACGTGTCCCCGGTAGTTTGTCGCGCCGACGAGGCCCTCCAGCCGGCGGCGCAGCGTGTCCCAGTCGTACCCCTCGACCCTCCGCTCCATGGTGAAGCACTTGAGCGAGGCCCCGGAGGCGCAGTAGCGGCGGCACCACTCGCGCAGCTCCGGCGTGCCCTCCTCCGGGACGGGCCCCGTGCCGCCGAACCCCGGGGCGCGCGTCGCGAAGACTGTCCCGCGGCGGACCTTTTCAAAGTTGCCCGCCGTCTTGACGGAGCGCCATGCCTGCGCGGAGCGTATGTCGCTGTACAGGAGGTGGGTGAGCTCAATCTCAATGTCAAAGTCGGTGACTGTCCTGGTCTCCCGGCTCTTGTCGCCCGACTTTTCCGTGTGTGTGCCGACGATTTTGACAAAGGGCCGCGGGGGCAGCTGGGCCAGCTTGTAAATGTGGTCGGCCAGAAAGTCTGGGTCGCGGTCTAGCCTGGGGTCGAGGAAGTAGGCGCATGTTTCGTCGTGGCGAAACGGGTGGACGGCTTCAAAGATGTCGCCGTGAGGGACCCGAGGGAGGAGAGGGTCAAAGGGCGTGCAGGAGTCGGCGTTGAACTCTTCGTGATCCGAGTACAGGGGAGGTAGGTCGTCGTTTGCGAGCTCGGTCGGGTCTTCGTCAAAGTAGCGATGGGGCGGCGGCGGATGGGGAGTGATGGACGCATATGGTTCCGTGAGGCGGGATGGGGTTGAGGAGGATGAGGGGTTGGGCGACGCGGCGTCTAAAGGCTTGCCCATGGTGGTGGTGGTGATGGCCAAAGATGAAGATGTTGACGTGGTGGGACAGACTTGGCTCTTTGCTATCGACACCAAACAGCAGCAGCAGCAGCAGCAGCACGCAAGGAAGCAGACTCCTTGAGGAAACAGAATTGAACGCAGCCGGCCGTGAGAAGAAAAGTGACAGGGACAAACCGACTGCCCAACAAAGGACAGCAGGCAGAAGAATGTGGCAGTCAACCAACATGAAGCATCTGGTTGGTCCGTCTTTGTTGCACCGCCAGAGATGCCAACCCCGTCTACGTAATAACTTACGCATTACCGGACCTGACAGCCCAGGGATTAACTGCCCTACTTGCCACAGAGCAAATGTTGAGCCATTGCAATGGCTGGCCACCAGCACGCGTGGCCTTGGCTCAGCCACGCCGTTCGGCCTCCCCCAATCCGGAACCATCACCCATCATCAACGCTGCGTCTTTAAGCTTGATTTAGTATTACGTAATACACCCAAGAATACTCCGTTACATGCATATGATCCAACAAAGGAAAAGAAAAGAAAAATCAATCCCAAACTGCGCTTCCGAGCGAGCCACGCTAATGACATGTCCGTCTACCTATCATGTCCCGCTCCTCATTTATTTGCAGCTTCATGCTTCCAGCTTTGTACTTGTGGCGTCACCCTGGCCTCGTCGCCTACACTCCCTTGCTGGGTATATCCATTCCAGTGGTGCCTCTTTTGCTTTCCCTTTTCCTGTACAACACCCAACTCTAGGCGTCGCCTACATCCACCAGCCTATCTTCATCCCACTTCCTCTTTGCTGCCTTGACCAAAACGTCAAGCTCACCGCTCATCTCGCACATGCTGTAGAATTGCCCTTCCTCGTCGCTAATCAGCTCCCAAGGATGCCCAAACTGCTTTACTTCACCGTGGTCCAAGACCAGCACCTTGTCATAATCCACAATCGTCTGCAGACGGTGAGCAATCGTGATGACAGTACCCGTAAGCTCTCGGATGGTTTTTTGAATTTTGGAGTCGGTGTTGTAGTCAATTGAAGCAGTGGCTTCGTCCATTACGAGCACCGTTGGTTTCTTAAGCATAGCCCGAGCCAGGCACAGCAGCTGTCGCTGGCCTTGTGACAAGTTTGATCCAGACTCGGTAACTGGTGACGAGAGATCCAAGAAGATGTTCTTGTTCGTCATCACAGAAGGTACCGGCGATCGGATGACTTGAGAATCTTGGTTCACTTGTATAGTTGGCGTCGTCGTGTTAGCGGCTGGCTCGTCTGCTCCAATCAGCTGGACGCGGCGAAGCGCTTCAAACACCTGCTCATCCGTATACTGATCAAACGGGTCCAAGTTGGACCGGATTGTGCCCATGAATAAGGTCGGATCTTGGGGCACAATGGTAATGTTCTCTCGCAAGTCTCGCAGGCCAATGTTGCCGATATTAATGCCGTCAATGACGATGCGGCCCTTCTCGGCCTCCAGCGCACGGAATATTGCCAACGCCAATGAACTCTTGCCAGCTCCCGTCCGTCCAACAATACCAACCTTCTCCCTGGCGTTGATCTTGAGGGTGATGCCCTTGAGGACAGGGTCTAGATCCTCTCGGTAACGGGTTGTGTAGTCAACGAACTCGACGTTGCCTTTGTCCGGCCATGATTCTGGTGGGCGGTTCTTCTCCACCACAGCCGGCGCCTCCTGATCAAGATCAAGGTACTCCTTGACTCTCTCCATTGAGTTCATGTTCTGTTCATTCATGCCATACAGACGCACTAACCAGAGAACATTTTCCGTAAAATTCATAGCATAGCTTAGGGAGATACCCGCAGCACCCGCATCAACCTTACCAAGGCTCAAAATGATGAATACACCAGCAGAGAAGGAAACCAGGTTACCCAGCAGGTCAGCACGGAATGAGAGCCATCTGTTACAGGCCCAGAGGTAGATAAATGGCCGGCTCTGCGTGTTCACCTTGGCCAAGTTGTCGCGAATAAAACGCCTCTCGTCACCATAAGCTCGGATAGTTGTCATACCGCTCAGAGTCTCGCCAAACTGCTGGAACAATGGACTTCGCTGCACAGACTCGAGACGTTTGAGATCACGAGAAGCACGTAGATAGAAAGTGGCGACAAAGTAGAAGAGGCCACCGATAAAGACGGCAGCGATCAAGAAACCGGGAGTGATGACGGCGATCAGGACAACCGTTACTATCAGAGAGAGCGCGCACGACATGACACCAATGGCAGTAGCCGCTATTTCTTGGTCGACGGCTTCGAGGTCCTTGCTGAAGCGGTTCATCAGTTGACCAAGGGGTGTCACATCAAAGAACTTGAACTTGGCACGGGTCACTGCTCCCATGAGCCGATCGTGGAGTTTTCTCGATGCTGTCAGAGACCCGTAGAAGATCCAAACATCCCGCACAAATGCTGCAAAAGAACCGAGAATACCGATAATAGCCAGTCCCGACAGATAGTAGGCCACGTTGACCTGAGGCGTGACCAGCGCGGAAAATGACACCTGACCATAGACCTTGCCAGAACTTGATTCAGAAGCAATGGCGTTGCTGCCAAGACGGGAAATGGATGCCCAGGATCCTTTGGAGAATGCCCCGGAGCCGTACGACTGAGAGAGCGTGCCGACTGCAACCATTGACTCTTCTTCGACGTATTGGTTCGCCCATTGTCTGACCCACACATTGGTTGCAACTGTGGCCAATTGCTGAAGATTGAAGACGATGACGGCCAAAACCCAGAACCACCAGGGGCCCATGGCTTGAACATAAACCTTCATGACTGGCCATTTGACAGCACCAGAGGCCTTGCCCTCGTCCATAGCATCAATCTGGGGCTTCTTCGATTTGGCCTTCTTTGGAGCGGCACTACCATCCTGGGATTCGCCATTGCTGTTGACCATTGTCTCACCATCGCCAACACTTGAGGGAACTCTGGAGGGTACTCGTGATGGACCTTGGGAACCAGCCGAAGATGCAGGGCGGGACTTCTGAATCTCTTCACCCAAGACTCCAGAGGCAATAACCTTTTGCGCCGAGCCCTGGGATATGACACGACCATTGTCGAGATACACTACGTAGTCAGCCGAGGGCACGCATAGGGCAACATTGTGGGTAACCAGAATGCAAGTTCGATTTGCCATCAGGGGGCCACGGATGCAGTTGGTGAAGATCCATTGGGCGGTGTGAGAGTCAACGGCGCTCAGGCAGTCGTCCATAAGAACGTGAGCAGAGTTGGAATACAGAGCCCGAGCCAGAGAAATTCGCTGCTTCTGTCCACCCGAAAGCGTGATACCCTTTTCTCCAACGAGTGTCTCGTCACCATGATCCAAAATCTCAAGATCGCGTTCCAAGGCACATGCGACAATAACATCTCTATATCGTTGCGGATCGTATGGCGCCGAAAAGAGAATGTTGTCCCGAATATTGGCATTGACGAGCCACGCAGACTGAGCAACGTAAGCGACAGTATCAGCCAACCGAGTTTCGGGGTCAGGCTTGACTTCTTCTCTACTTCGACCACCAGGACAATAAACCTTGCCCTCCACCAATGTCATCTCGCCAAGAAGCCCCATCAACATTGACGATTTTCCACTCCCTGTAGAGCCGGCAATGATATTGAGCTTGCCCATCTGAAAGTCGACATTCAGGTCCATCAGTCGAAAGGCTCGCGATCCGTCCTCAGCAACCGTGTCCTTGCCACCCCAAATCAGGGTTGCGTCCTTGAATCCAATATGCTTCACACCTTGTTCGTCCACATTGTCTTGTCCAAGCTGCTCATATTTCTCAGTCTCTTCTTCATTTAAGAACTCTTCAACACGATCAATAGAGACCTTGGCTTCCTGCACATGAGCAAACATGTCACCCAGTTGGTCGAGGGGAACTCTTAGCAGCATGAAGAGAGAGATGGCGGTGAAGGCAATGGAGGGATACAGAGGTTTCTTTTCGATCAGAGTGTATACAAGGAAGGAGAAGAATGTGATTAGGACTGGAACAGAGTTCCAGATGGCCACAGCGCATGCCCAAAGAGTGAATCGCGATCGTAACGCATTGAGCTCAGCCTCTCGCTTTTCATCAATGGAGCGCCCAAATCTCTCTTCCCAAGCAAAGTATTTGATGATCCGGATATTCTGGAGGACTTCGTTGGTCACATTGATTCGCTTGTCAGTAGCTTTCATGATGTTCTTGGAGGTTATGTTAAAACCCTTTGCCAGGAAGTAGTTGACGGGGAGAAGGAAAACCATGACGACCAGACCAGGAATGGCACTGAGTCCCATGACCTGCCAGAGTAAGACGACAGAGATGATAAGCTGCGTTGGAGCCGCAGCGCATAGAAAGTGGAGGTAAGCAGTAATTTCGGCAATCTTGAAGCTATCCACCGACATCAGATTGATAATAGTTCCCAAGTTAGCCTGATCATCGTCACCAGCGAGTTTGGTGTTGTCGCCATCGATGCTACCAGCAGACTCTGTGTCGCTTGTCAAGGCACTCTTGTTCTTGTTACGCTTCCGTAGACCAAGGGCGCCTTTGATCTTGGCAATTGTGCCCTCATTTTCGGGATCAGCGTCCTTTTTGGTCTTCTTTGAGCTCTCTCCAAGGACCTTGTCTTTGCCGGCCGCAGCTTTTCGACGAAGAGCCTTGGCGTAAATGTCGCCAATAATAATGGCACGAACGCGGATGCAAATCTTCCGACCGGTCCAGAGCGCCATACCATCAGCATAGGATCGGATGGTGTCAAGAACAGGAAGACCAATGACATAAAGCCAAAGAACGTTAATAGGAGCGCGGTCAGGTTCCTCGACATACTCGAGAATGGCCCTCAAGAGGAGCGTTGGCGCAAAGGTGAAGAAACCGGAAACAAAGGCCAGGAAGCATTGGAAGAATAACATGCCTTTGAAATATTTCAGCATGTGCCATGCCAGAGCACCAGTCTTCTTCATCTGGCGATAGTCGGCAATCACAGCCGCAGCCTTGTCCTTGGGTAGCAAGTTCCACACATCATCAATCTCCATGGTCTTCTTCCAGCCTTTATACACAATGGCATCCACCCATGCAAAAGTAGCGAGCGAGAAGAGACTTGCAAGTGGTTCGCGAGATGGTTCGATCCCGTCCTCCCATTCCATCAGTACCGTCTTATTTCCCTTTCTAGTGGTTGCTGCCAGCATGAACAAGAGTGTAATAAGCCCAAACTCGGTGCAGGCAAGAATCTGTACTAGTTGAGAGGTAGGGTTGATGAGCGCGGAGCGGAATATGAAGATGTTCAACACCCAGTTGACGGCATAAATGCTGGCTGTGTGATTCCATAGATGAGGAATCCCCCATTTGGTGCCACCAAGGAACAGTCGCAGAGAGGCCAACACCAAAACATAGATCCAAGTGAGTAGTCCCGTTATCGCCACGAGACGCCCCCCGGATCCGTAGGCACCCTTGATCAGAGCGATCGCATTGACAACAATCAACCCGACGATGGCAAGTTCTTCAACAGCTTGGGACAACCGTTGCCCATGCGGTGTGTCGGCCTCGACAACGGATCCTCGGCTGATAGTTTTGGCGAGGGCGAGCCGGTTGCCGTTGATTTCGAGATATGGATCGTCTTCAGCGTCGTCATCGTCATCCTCGTCATCGATATCGGGTGGTAGAGCTGTGTGGTCGTTCGCTATGGGCTTGTAGCCCTTCGGCTTGCCTGATGAAAGCAGCCGTCCGATGTTTGACCAGGCAAGACGTAAAAACGAGACGACAATAACCGCTAATGGGAGGAGAACCTTGAGATAGCTACGCGAATGTTAATAAGTCTCTTCTCGAGATGGATTGACCCAACGAATGGTTCGGGAATGCGTCACTGCACGTACTCTTGTCGAAAACACAAGGTGAGGTCATCAACCCGCCATATTGGCCAAGAGCATTGAGCGAAGCCCATGGTTGGAGAGGCAGCGCCAGGTAGTGTGCCGGTTGTGGCCGCTTCAGCTCTCATTCGTGCGCAGACACGCACTCAGCCGCACAAGCTGTAGGCAAAGGAGTGGTGGCGGAGGAAATAAAGATATGAAAGAGAAGGAGAAAGAGCCTAGCCGTCACGATTGTGTTCAGGACGTCGGTGTGAAAGGGACTCTAGAAGGATAGGAAAACCTTTTGTTTTCCGAAGGCACGCGCTAATCTGGGCTTGGCGTGGCAATGGAATTGATGAGGTGCGTAGTAAGTGGTTGGTCGACAGAGCAAAGGCTGGCGCCGGCGGGTGGCGTGGGGGGGTGTCTCTGTCTTATTAGACTTGACTTCTCGTCGGCGACGTCGAGCAGTAATAAACGGGACGCGAGAAAAAAAAAGCAAGAAGAAGACAATAATTCTGTATTACAATACGTCAACTCGGTCTTTTCAACCCGCCTCGGATTCTTTGACCGGGCTCTCGTTTGCGCTCAGCCGCCTGCTTTTGGCATCAGCTGGAGATAGATGTACGATTGTCGTCTTTTCTTGTCAATGCTGCAGATGCCACCCAATGGAACCGAGGGCACGAGGAAGCCAGGAGAGCGCAAAGGGTGCGAGACTATTCGGGAGGGAGGAAGGGGAGGGTGAAAGGGGAAATAGAAATTGGAATGGGAAGAGAGAGGGCATTAGCCTCCAATAATGGTGGTAAGAATGGAGCCGAAATAGACTTGTTCAAGCAGAAGCAATGCACCGAGGGAGAGAGTCGAGGGTGAATGAATAACTACTGGGTAGTATTAGTAGTTATTCGAGGATTAACCCGATAGAGCTGTCCACCCCGCCTACCTGCAGCAGCAACCAGCATAAATGCACGAGACTTGTGAGCCCCGGAGAGTTGGACTGGGGTGAAGAACGGTGTGGTCGTCAGAAGGAGATGCTTCTGGCTTCGTGGGAAGCCAGTGACTTTCGGTCAAGGAGTCATAGGTGACGGACGGGTCGTCGAGTCGGCAACGGGTGTGGTTGTGGGAGGGGCAGTGGTGGAGATAAATTGGCGTCTGGCTCTGGATCCTTGGCTAGCGCGATTTGGCAAACCCGTTCAGCCCTTCAATTCGAAAAGTCAAGTGTCAAAAGATCCAGGGCAGGAAAGGGTACGAGATACGGGCTGGATCATGTTTTTGGCGATGTTTTGGTGCAGCATGAAGAAACGTGACAGGGCTCGAGTGGCCTCAGCTGGTGTTTTCGTTGCCATGTTTTCAGATTCATAAACGGCAGGCATGCGCCATGTCTCCTGCCGCCCGGTCCCAGGTACGGAGTACCTAGGGTACCTATTTGGCTCGGTGCCTCATGCAACAGGAAGGTACCTAGGTACCTAGGCAGTTACTTGATACTCCGGAGGATTTTGAATTTTTGGGACGGCATATTGAGATCTCGATGTCGCTCGCTTAGGTAAGGCCAGCTCCCAGCTCTAGTCCTTCAGACATGGAAACAGTCAGGCCATTTCACATAGCCCAACACGCACTGTCCTCGCTCCTTGACACGACGACGACGACGACGACGACGACAACATCCGCCATCATCTCGGAAGCAAAACGCATAACGCGCACATGGACATGGAAGACGTTGTCTTTCGTCTCTTTTAGGTGCTGCAGGTTGGACCGGGGTGCAATGATTGCAGTAAGGTTTGCAGTTGGCCCATGTTCTTGACGTCGCACCAAAAGTCCGAGAGTCATCGAGCATGTCGTTCAGGCGCTCACCAGAGACAGGGCAAATCCAATAAAAGATTCTACGACTGTGCTCAAATTCGGTGCCGTGGTGCCCGTCATCATCAGCTGTCCCAATACGGCTACTCTCTCGCAATACTCGGCGTCTTTGTCTTCAAGCTGCTGAGTAATATCTGCCAGATCCGTCAATGATTTGATTACGGGATGTCTCGTACAACTCGATGCCGGACGGTTGACGGGCCAAGACTACAGTTATTACAATTTATGCACTCGTCTGTGCCGCAAGTCTACTATCGAGAGGCCGGCCCTCTCGGTCAAGGCTGGTTTGGTTTGCGAGACAACCAGCTCCGCAAAGAGATCCATCACTAGCGGTCAGAACTAGCACTCAGGTTCTTCAAACAATAAAAACGCAAAATGGGAGAAAATCCAACAAGTCGAGTACTGCCATGCATTCGTGGCGGCAGGCTGCTCAAGCATGTTGACCGCGTTCTGCCTCCGCTGCAGCCCACCCGCATTATTCCCATGCCATGCTATTCCATGCCATGCTTCAACGGCGCCATCGACAGTGGAACTACCTCCCCACGATGAAGCAGAACATAGTTATTGCGCTCGTTCAAACAAGATCGAGGTGGACCTGGAATGCATGTTTTGAATCCGGGGTTGCTCTCATGTGCGTGCAGCTGGACACCATCTGAATGGACCTACGACTGTTTAAGAATTACTAATTGTATTGTCACCTTTTCAACACTTCCTCACCAGCTGGGTGAATGGCTCTCTAGCTGCGGGTTTCCCCAAGAACAAGAACATATGCTTGTGCAAAGGCTATCCATCTCCACCCTTGCAGACTGCTTGCAAAGGACTCTCGGAGATACAAAAATACGTCTTAAAGACCTCCGTCGAGACCAGCTATGCTGAAGCCGATTTGCTAGCTCTTGGTCCGACACTTATCGTGTGTATCCGTACAATAATCCGTGCAGATTCATGATGTTCGCTTTTCCTTCCCAAAATATCAAAGACTATCTTGTAAAAGGGACTGAAATCTGATAATAGACTATTGCTATAGGCTTTTTTTTTCCTCCGCACGTGACTGCTAGAATTGTCTTGTCGTCCAGAAGCAAACTGGCGATGTTGTAATTGAGCTCGACTGCTCAACACGAAAAAAAGCGACTGAAAGTTCTTACTTGTCCAAAGGACGAGGAGAGTGCTCGTGAATCCCCCATGTCAAAAACAGGTTCGATTCTGTCTTTCCCACTGCATGAGCATCGGCTAACCTGCATGAGTTTTATCCAGCAAGGTTTGGCAGTCCTGTCAACTATGTATCAACATGCGGGAGACAGGAATCCACCAACTAGCTGCAGTATCCACCATCCGGGGACCAAGTCGGACGACGTACCCGGCAAAGCCAGCCTCTGATCCAGAGACCCGGGGCATGACTGAAGTCATTTATCATTTATGAAGAAAGCCGGCCAAACTGACAGGCAGCCACCCTCGACTCTGGCGGCTTCCCCCGCGACATCGATTGTGTCGGTTGATAGTACCGATAATACCGCCAACTAGCGCGAATGCAAAACGTCATTCATGTCTGGAAGACGCACGCTAATCAAAAATTTTGATGTCGCCTTGGCGAAAGTTTGCAGAGTCATGACTAAAATGAGCCACTCATGCAGACTGCTGGGTTCATGGATTGTGCCAAACCCTTGGGTTGGGAGTACAGGACTCCGTAGAACATGGTACAATGGCGCACAACGTACCGCGAGGCTCTGTTTTTCGGTATCGATCTAGAGCCACCACATCATTTTCCCAGACGAATCAGCGCGTAGTTGCTTCTGCACATGCTTCCTCGTCCGTATTATCTCGCAGTGTAGCCCGGGCGCGACACAGCGCAAAATGAAGAGAAAAAAAAAGCTGGCCATGGGATCAAGAGCGTAATCCGGCCAAATGGTATGTCCGAACCCTTGAATCCAAAAGTTGGCGGACGGCAGTGGAGTATCCCAAGGGCGTGGTTCATCATCAAGAATGAAGCTTCCCATCGCATAAGCTGAACGCAGCAAAGCGAGCGATGTGATCTCGGGAATCTCAATCTCTGAACTACCAATCCCATCTTTCATCATGCAGCCAGCGCGTTTCCGTCCACCGTATGACTCCCTCTGCTCATGCCCTCCTACCGGACCCCAACTCCGCACAGTAATTCACGCATTGCTAAATGAAGTGCGCCGACGCTTGTGCGAATACTAAACACCGTCTAACCAATAATGAGTGCAGTCATTTAATTTGTGCTCAAAGCCACAGAACTACTGTGCGGCTAAGACCCTGCCAGTGTGGCACTACCCTGCATCTTATTTTCCGTTTGCCAATCGTGGCACGATTAGCAGCTTAGATACCAGTCCATGTGACGAATGTCTGACTGTTCATGCTTAAATCGCCTTGCATTACTCCGTACTCCGCAGTCATTATTACGACCCGAGAGATTTCTGCACTCTTGTCACCGTATATTTGCGAATCACATACACAACATTGAAGACGCTGGAATGTGCGAATAAAACATTGTCACCTCACATCCTTTTTGTCCCCGAGAAGGAAACAATGCAACTACTCTTCTGTAGTCCTACGCATCTCAATACTTTAATTGTCCAGTTCTACACCCGTTTCGAGTGCCCGATGATTATGGGCCTGCTAAAAACCATGGTATATTGCCACTCTATTCATCTTCATGTGACCCAAGAAAAAGACAAGCCCAACCTGCCCATCGCCTGATGCCATGTCCAAATATTAATTTTATCATCGTTTTCGCATCCCAGACTCCCCGAATTTCGCTTGATGCAAAAAGAAAAAAAAAGTAAACAAGATGAATGCCTCTTTTTTGTATTTATAGTATGCTCCTAACCTGCCAATTTTGTTTTGTTCTTGACACGTGAAATGTTATTACACAATGTGCCGGCTCTTTCCCCCCTAATTATCGGGCACGGAGAAGCTGTGTTTACAATGAGAGAGGGCATTTTCGAGCGAGAAAATGCATCTCCTTGGGGCTGTGATCGAGGATGTCTGAACAATTGGTAACTTAGCCCATGATCATGCCCTTCATGCCAGCAAGGTCGCCCTCCTTGGCAGCAATCTCGAAGTATCCGTAGATGATGCTGGGTCGATGTTAGCTTCAATTGACGCATTTATTGTCGCCGGGCAGTTCTTTGGTAAATACTTACGTGACAGCGAGAAGGGTACCGGTTCCGGAGCCAAGAGCACCCATGAGATCGCTGGCAACAGAGAGAGCACCAATGCAGGCACCGCCGAAGGCAGCAGCAGTGGGAATGATGCGCTTCAGCTCCTTGTACATGCTCTG